TGGCAGGACAGCAGTGAAATCACTTCAAAAATGATGTTCCTATTGGCAGTACTTTTTAGGAAAGAAACAACAAAAACGTTTTCAGAAAAGGAGCTGAAAATAGACTCTGGGCAAGCCGATTGGTCTCAAGAGGTTTAATCTCTGCAGAAAACCTGTCGTGGCTGGCAACCCAGAGTGCAGTGTGCTAGTGACACTGGAGCAGGATGCAGCCCTCTCTCCTCTCACTGCTGATGCTGATGTGACATCTAGTGGCCAGCACACACCCTTCCAACTCAGTGGCTCCTTCAAGAAGCAACTTCAGGCATTATTAGCAAGATCCTGCACATCAGGAGTGTCCTTTCCTGTCCCATGAGTAGCATGTTGGTAGCTCTTTCTTAGGAATAAGTGATCTTAAAATGCAAAGTAGTAGATATGGACCCCTACTCACCACCTCAATTTCAGGTATGAAGGAATGGGCTTCAAGGTGAGCCTTGGTATTAAGGGGTGAGATCTTGCAGGTATAGCAGAGAGTTTAATGAAAACAGCTCAGTGCTCAGTTACAGTCAAGAAAAGCTAATGAAATGTTAGGAATGGTTAGGAAAGAAACAGAGAACAAAGCAAAAACAGTGTTATGCCACTCCAAGGGCAAGCTCCACACACCTTGAATGCTTTCTGCTGTTTGGGTTCCTCATCTTGAAAAGCATATATTTGATATGGGAATGATTCAAAGGAGAGAAACAAGGACCATCAGAGGCCTGGAATGGCTGTCTTATGAGGAATGATTGAATAGCTGGGATTCTTCAGTTTGGAAGAGAGACAGATAAATATCAAGGGGGGAATATGATATAGCTCTACAGACTCCTGAGTAGCTAGGAGAGAGAGACTTCACTGCCTCTTCCGGCACAAGAACCAAGGCACATCGAATAAAGCCAGTGGGAGCCAGGTTCAAAACAGGCGAAAGAAGACACACAAGTAGTATTTGCGCTCTGGAACTTCTTGTTGCAGGATGCTGTGAGTGTTAAATGTTTACAAAGGCTAAAGCGGGTAGTGAACAAGTTCAGGGAATAGAAGTTGAGTGAGATTCACTAAATATGCAAGAAACATCTGGCTCAGAAAGTCACCTGAGCTGAAAATAGCTGGAGAATACTGGAGGAGTACTTAAAGGAAATGTCATATCAGCTTGCCCTATTTTAACTCTTCCCAGAGCATCTGCTTATAGCCACCACTAGAAGCAGAATGGACAGGCTGGACAGACCCTTGGTCTGACCCAGTATGGCCACACTTTTGAATTTTCCCACATATACTGCTCAGAGAGGCACCTGCATAATGAGTGTTGCACATCAAGTGGCAACTGCAATTGTCCAGGCTCTTCCCCTTCAGCATAGGCAAGAGGATGCAAAAACTATCAAACTTGCATTTATGATAGGGTAAGAGTCCACTTTTTGATAACTACTGTAGAGCATCTGGCCTGATGTATTGCACTGGGGAGTTGTGCAAGAGTTTGACAGGCCAGGTAGAAGTTTCTAAAAATATTTGTGCATGAGGTCCAACTTGCTCCTGCTGAGCTAACCTGTGGGCTGCATTAAGTCTTCTGGCAGGCTAAAGGGTGGAGAACTCTGAATTAAATGGTCTTTTAAGGTCCCTTTCAATCCTACATTTCTCTGATTGTGTCTTATCAGGAATTTTATTGTTATTCATCTAAACTGTCTTTCTCTTGATTGTGCTGTGCTACTCCTTGTTATCACAGAATCACAGAATGGTTTAGGTTGGAAGGGACCTCTGGAGATCATCTAGTCCAACCTCCCTGCTCAAACAGGGTCCTCTAGAGCATATTTCCCAGGGTCACATCCAGATGGTTTTTGAATATCTCCAGGGAAGGAGACTCCACTACCTCTCTGGGCAACCTGTGCCAGCTCTCTGTCACCCTTACAGGAAAGAATTTTTTCCTCAGGTTCAGATGGAACTTCCTGTGGTTCAGTTTCTGCCCGTTGCCTCTTGTCCTGTCTCTGGGCACCACGGAGAAGAGGCTGGCCTCATCCTCTTGACACCCCCTCCCCTTCAGATACTTGTACACGTTGATGAGATCGCCTCTCAGTCTTCTCTTCTCCAGGCTGAACAGGCCCAGCTCTCTCAGCCTTTCTTCATAGGAGAGATGCTCCAGTCCCCTCCTCACCTTTGTAGCCCTCTGCTGGACTCAAGAATCTCCAGTAGCGCCACGTCTCTCTTGTACTGGGGAGCCCAGCACTGGACACAGTACTCCAGGTGAGGTCTCACCAGGGCTGAGGAGAGGGGCAGGATCACCTCCCTCCACCTGCTGGCAACACTCTGCCTCATGCACCCCAGGAGACCATTGGCCTTTTTGGCCACAAGGGCACACTGCTGGCTCATGCTTAACTTGTTGTCCACCAGCACTCCAAGGTCCTTCTCTGCAGAGCTACTTTCCAACAGGTCAACCCTGAGCCTGTACATGGGGTTATTCCTGCCTAGGTGCAGGACCTTGCACTTGCCTTTGTTGAACTTCATGAGGTTCCTCTCCGCCCAGCTCTCCAGCCTGTCCAGCTCCCTCTGAATGGCAGCACAGTCTTCTGGTGTGTTATATCTTCTTGGAGTGCTCTAAAGACTACTCAGTTATGCCAGGAGAGCACAGATCAAATGCCAGGGAGAGAAGGAGAATGATTGACTCAGTTTTCTGATCTTTTCTATGACTGGGCTCAGTGCTTGTGCTTCTATGGCAGCAAGGCAGCACAACAGCCCTGGTCAGACTCTGGAACTTGTGAGCAAAATTCTTGCTCACAAGTGACATGGTCTTGAAGGGAGGGCCTATGCCACTAGGCAGAGTGTATTTTGTGGTCAGATGTTGTCACCTAATACCTGGAATATGTTTAGGCTTCTGAAACTGGACTGTGGGTAGCGTTTCACTTTCAAGTCAGATGGTAGCCTGTCCTGGTTAGCTGAATGTGGTATGCTCTTTGATATTGGATAGGTAGAGACTGAGTGCCAGCTTGGTGGAGCCCTGGCTGTTTGAGGGTGTCCTATTGTGGGTGGATGGTATCAGGACCTGAAAGAGTGGTGTAGGAAGGGACAAGCAAAGGATTAACAGACTCTGGACACCATGGTGGCTTCTGCCTGGAAGACATCACCACAAAACTATGTGATGTGACCACTCCCATAGCAGTCCTAGATATCTGCAGTGTACATTCATGTTTACACTTCTCTTTCTTCTGGTGGGAGTCCTTCTTCCTCAGCTGCCAGTGCTAGTTTCTCACCACTTTCTTTCATCTGTCCACTAGACCCTGTATGGAAGAAGATAGGAAGTAATCTGAAGGTCACTTTGGGTGTAAGCCCTCTGCCTGATCCCTCAGAATGCAGAACAATCCAGCTCCCTGATGCCTGGGTTCATCCTCTCTCCTGGCTGCCTCCAGGACTCTCCATGGGCTCATAGCCCTTACTCATAAGCTCACCCTTTTGTCCATTTGCCTTTGGAGTCACCATATGGAGATGACAACGTAGCTGGATGCAAAGAAGCTAGAAGAAAGTAGAGACTGGTGATACACTTACAATCCCCTATTGTTTCCCTAAAATCCCTCCTGCTTGTCAGGAGAGGAGCAGAGAGATGAACTGTTGCATGGATGCCTGCAAATCACTGACGGCTGTCCTGAACTAGAGCATCCCTTCAACCTAGTTCTAATAAGTCAGACCATGGGTTTGGCTCCTTCCTTGACATGCAGGCTATTCCATAACCTAAGAGGTCTCAATCTTTGAGAATGTTTCCTGGTAAGAACCATGTCACTTCCTAACTTAGTGTACAAATCACACCTTCTCTCGGAAAAGTTTACATGGCCTTTACTAGAGGTAACTGTTAAAATTCTTAGAACTAGAAGACATTAGGGAGGTCTGGAACAAAGGCGTTCATCTTCTAGGTGACCATAGATATGATTGGCTGAAGGGGGCCACTGATTGAAATCACAAGTAAATTCTGGAAAAGTCACAAGCATCAAAAGGCACAGGCCTGCTGGGGTAATGAGTTAAAGTCTAGCAGCCAGTCGTGTATTGAGGATGACTACTGAGCAGTCATACTTATGCCATTATTGTCAACAGTCATGTTTACCTTCTTTTATGATGCACTGGAGCCACCTGAATTCTAATTCAAATTTTTTTTTTCCAGGTAGGAATTCTGCTAGGAAATAGACAGAGACTTACCACATGGTAGCTAGCTTCTTTTCCTTTCCATTGAAGGCTGGTCTTCCTAGACTGGGTATCATTTCCTAGTCCTCCAGGTTTCTTGGTCAATGTTGGCAGTTCCTCACATATGGCAAAGTGTACCTTATGTGCATGTGCTCATCTGTACATGTTTACATTTTCTAGGTCCTATCTATTTATAAATATTAATATTCACAAGGCCTTCATTTCCTCTTAATAGTTATTGAAATTTTAAAAATATTGATTTGAAAAAAGCAGTTCAGTATCTGAGCCATTTAAATCTGTCATGGCTTCCATCCCTTTCCTGTCCTTCAAGTATATTTTTCCCTTGGACATGTTTAATAAAACTCATATTACCCATAACCTTATAAGCAACATTAACTGTGGCTTCTCATGAATTTAATTCTCTGCTTTTGTCCTTGCATCAGAGCTGCTGAGATCTGGCAGAAGTTGTCTGCAGAGCCCTTGGTTCAGTCTTTGTCCATGCTGCTCTTCCCCAGAAGGGGATAATCACAACATACATGTTCTCTTAGTTTCTCCATTCCAATTTTTTCTCCCTCTGGAAATAAGTTCAGCATTGGCAGCATGTAGAGCAAGACAGACTTGGTAACCAGCTCCAAAGGACTAATCCTTCTGCCCCAAGCCAAAGGACCAGACCGTCCCTGCTGTATAGAGGAACATCAACTTTATTTTACATTCAATGTCTTAGACTATCAGAGCTCCCCAGTGCTGGGCCTCCCCAAGCCTAGGGCCACTCTGGGCTTTCTTCCACTGTTTCTCCTACTAAATTTCACTGGCTGATGTGCCTCCCTGCTTCATTGTTATGGCTCTTCTTTCTGTTCCTCCTCCTCCATTTCCCCTTCCACAGGCTTCTGTGCTAGCTTCTTCTCTTTTAAGTAACTAATCGAAAAGAAAGAGATGATCCAGTATTAATTTAGTAAAAAGTGACCCTTTCCTATCAGATATCTTAAAGCTGCTGAGAGGACCTTGAGGAAAAAGTCTGAGGTGGGAACAGTAAGGATGGCAAAGGTCACAACTCTTCTGACTCTTATCTACAAGTTGACTATTACCATGACCACACACGCTACAATGCGAAAATGAACTAAGAAGCTAGATAAGGAGTAGATATCTATTTTTATTTTGTTCCTGTATATGAACTCAGGAGCATTAATGGGGCCAAGTGAAGTGTTTGGTGTCCATTTGGATTCAACAGTTCTTAATTTGCTAACTAACCCCAGCTCTGTAATTTGTGCCCAAAGTACCTGGGACCTCCTGTAACCTCCTATTCAAGATTAACCAAGCTTGTGCAGTGTCTAGGCACAGATGCATTTAGCATAGCATTGGTATACACTAAAGAATAAAGACCAGATCCAACCAAGTGATTAGGTTCTCACCTTCTATTTGAAAACATCAGGACGCTAAGAGGTAAAACATTTAGATTTGCAAAACTGACCTACTGCTTCTAGCCTTAAATGCAGACTACAACATATATTTTAAACCCATCAGTATGAATTAAGGGATGGAAATATCTGGGCATGATTAACAGGGCTTTCAGATCATGAGTCACATGTCAGAACTGATTGCAAAACTAGGGAGAAGTTTGTGGCCCAATGACAAGTGGTTTAGCCTGCAGCGACTGACAGCCTCCAAGGAGTTTGCTGCTGACTGCTCAGACTCTCAGAACTTGGACACGATTGCTACAGGCAGTAAGAAAATGAGGCATTTCAAGAAAATGAAGAAGTCTGTAGTTTGAAGGCAGGTTTCCAGGGAAAACTAGGACTCCTAAGAAGAAGGATCAGAGAGAAAATAAAAACGAGAATTCTTGAGGATGGAAGAAAAGGTTTGAAGGCATATTTATGCTATCTTTGCAGCTCTCACCGTGGCTTCAGGGTGGGGACAGTGTTGAGCTGACCTTTCTCACATAGGCCTGTGAGCGTGAATGAAAATGCCATTCAGCTCTGAAATCCAGGCACTTTCAACGCAAGTTTATAAGAGAAAAAAAAAATACTGACTTCTAGTTTGACTCAGTAGGGCTCCTAAGCATGCAAGCATGCTTGTCACCTGCTTTTTACTTGGGTAAGTAATGTGTAATTATGTTGCAGGAGTTGCCAAAAACATGTGTTCCTTCACTTCCTAGATTGAATAAGGGTATGTTCTTTTAGTGTTGAGCCAAATGAAGAAAAGAACAAGAAGATAGGGCAGTACACGGAGTCACTCACTCACCTGTAGTCCACCATGCCTGTCCGATTCCGGTCTAGCTTCTGCACTTGTTCTGCAATTTGGACTTGATTCAGTGGGATATTTGATTCCTAAAAGGAAAAGAGAGATCTAGCAAACTTGGGATTTTTTTTTTGCAGAAAAAACGCTCCTTGTCAATCTGGGGCCTGGTCATCTTTTAATAGTTGGTCAGATGGCTTGATGCCTGGAAGAAGGGATGGAAAAATTGGGGAGGGGGGAGGGAGAAGCAATTTAACTCTTTTGGGATCCAAATAGAAGTGCAGTCACAGCTTGGATAACCACTGTTTGCAAGGATGTAAAACAGCATCATGGATGTCTAACCAGTGCCCACTGGTCCCAAGCACCATGATGGTTCTGGCAGGAAGAGAAATATTTACTCAGTGCGTAGATGCAAGGATAAATGCCTCTTTTTCACTTCCCCCACAGCCATGAGACATAATTGTTTTCCAAGGTATATTCTACACAGGCAGCTGATCCATCTTATTTTACAGGGCTCTTGTGTTATTCCAAAGTTTATCCATAATCACTGATGCCACCTGTAGTATTTATTGGATGCTACAGCAATTCTGTTGGGTCTTATTCAGGGCTCAGCTTCTGCCATGGGTGAATTTAGCCTTCTAGCCTGAACTGCCTCCACAGCAAGGCTGACTGGTGGCCATGTTGCAGCAGAGGGGTTTCCCCACAGCAGTGCCCTGCCGGAAGAGCATCCTGGCTATGCTTTTAGAGGCACATCTGCATTATAGCTCTCCAGATGGCTGCCACAGGGATCCTTATGTTTCCATCCTTGTCAATATTCCTAAAAAAGTCCCAGAGTTGTAGATTGTGCTCTTTCAAATAGTTTTAGGAGAAGAAGAGATGAAACAAAGCCATAACTATGAATTGAAACAGCCACTGGTATCTGCCTCCAGCTCTTCGCTTGAGAAACTGTTCTTCCGTCTGTCTCCATGCTTTTATTCAGTCCATCACTGAGCTATCCACGTCCTTACCTCCTTGTACTGCCCCTCTATAGTCTAAACAAAATCCTCTTATTCCAGATAATCCCATTCTTCTTAGTTATGTCTTACCCCTTGAAACAAATCTCAGTAATAAAACTGTCTCCAGGCTGTCTCCCCTGATAATTGCGTATGGTTATTTGGTCCTCATCCCATCAGACATTGTTTGACTAGGCTGTCTAACCCAGAGACAGTTCTTTCTCCTAGATTTCTGATCACTTTAGTTGCACTTCTCTGAATTCTCTTCAGTTTGACTGAGGACACATCTGAGTACCATAACTGCTGTTTAAAACTGCAAAATGTGATATCAGGATTATCACTAGCTATGAATCACAGTAGCAGTTTTTATGTGAGCTAACAGCCCAAGCATTTGCTTAGTTTCATTTGAAGCAATATCTACAGAAATGTCTCATCTAATTAGCTAAAAATCTGCACAGCAGCTAGAAAAAACAGTGAAGTTAGTAGTCGAAAAGAATGTTATTTAACTCAGCAGTGCTGGTGTTGCGTTGTCTTCTAGCAAGGAGGACAGCACCATCTGCTGCTCTCGATAGGAATTACAAGTCTTGGAAAAAGAGAACTCATTCCTATTTTGGACAATATTTGTTTATAATAAAATACCATATCCTACTTTTATGAAGCACATTTCATTTTGAAGCTAAATCACAACTGTCAGGGAAGAGTTCTGTGACAGTCAGCCATTATGGTGGGCCTGGAGATGTGGACATACATTCATTTGGATCGGAGCTGAAATCAATCAGTTTGTTTTACACAACTAGCAAACATCCATTGAGATGGAAATGGCAAACAATTCTGTTCAGCGATTACAGCACTTAAGGCTGAGTTATACTATCATCTGTGCAATTGCTTTTTAAAGGCTGTCAAATCATATAATTTCTGTTTCTCAGTTTCCTCAGTTGAAAAAGAAATAATGCAGATGTACTTTTGAAATGAAATTTGTGGATGAACGATGTCATATAAAGGTGTAGAATTATATTACTAAATCACTGATCACAGTCATGCAGATCAAACAGCACATCTTTCTCCCCTTCAGTGCTCCCAGATCCCAAGACATTTGCTTCCAAAAAATCAGAGGATTTGCTTAGTCAGTCTGCATGGAATCAGATATGTGAACAAGAGACAGTCATTGTGAATACATTTTTCTGAGGTGACTTGACTGAATTTTTCACTTGGAAGAAAGCTTACCCCTTCCAACCCCCATCCCTCCAAGTGTCTGGGACACATGCACCTTGTGCAGGGGAACTATAGACTCAAATTCAGTGACTCACCTGGTTCACTTTCATAGGATTTGGATACTGCTTAGGGTTTTTGGAAATAGGGCTTCTAACCTCGCCACAGGTGACATCTAGTCCAGGATGTGCTTGACGCACCAAATCCAACAGCTTGATGAAAGTTTCATTCATCGGCATATTCTAGTATATAGGAGAAAAGGACAGTGCAGTCAGTACGGACACCCAAAGAACAACAAAAATTTGCTTGTATTAACAATCCCTTTAGTCAACAGTAACAGTTCTCTGCTGAGGGTTGTACCTCCTCCCATCTCCACTCTTTACATTCAGGAATCCCACAGGGGCTCCAGCCTAAATAAGAGTTCTTCTTCGTTCTCTTTTCCCATGACTGAGACAGGAAAGGATCTCCTAATCTACATGCAAATTAACTTGATGCAAAGTACATGTTCATCAGGTATATTCTTAACAAGAATAGACATCTCTTTAAGGAGACACAGTTGTCTGCTGAATTGGAATAGTCAACTTAATGGGTTTCACTTCAATACACAATACATATTTCCAGTGTAGATAACTACACTAGAGAGAGCTAAGCACTTTCCCTTTGCTGTCAGTGAAGAAAATTCACAATTCTAGAGTGCGTTTCATTTCATCCAAAAAAGACAGGGTAAAACAGAGAAGATGGCACATGGTCTAGAAATGCTTCTTTCTCTCCGTTGATTCTAAAGAGAATATAAGGTGTTCAGCTCAGATGTAAATGTCTACGCTGAAGACATTGCATGCCTTCAGGTGACTTAGGTTCTTAGCTGAGACAGTTCTACATAGGTCTCCTTCTCCATTCAGTTAAGATGCAGACTGTAAGTTGAAAAGTTAGTGGCCAAAATGTAGCAGAGAATTTTGTAAAAATGAAAAGGATTAGTGTCTCCAATAATGTAGCTGTATAGACCAGACAAGATACACCTACATGGGAGGGGTCTGGGTATCTCCAGATGAAAAGAACTTTTAGTGCTTTTGGTAAAACTCTGTTTCATTGTGTAACCCTAGCAGGAAGTTCCAGATCAGCAGTACAAGACCTGACATTTGCTTTTCCTATGGCATTCAAATCAAGCAGTTCTGAGCGCAGGCTAGCTGTGCACATTCACACACAAATGCACTCAAGTACACCATTTCTCCTACAACCCTGAACGCAGAAGAGCACAAGGCAGAAGAAGTGTCAGTGCAGAAGCCAGTCTGAGTCTGGCCGGGTTTACTAGCTTTCATTGAGCACCAACTTTTTTCTGGACTCAGAGTGGCTCCTTGTAGAAGCCATTCAGATATCTCTGCTCTGTGCACACTAGCAGCATGTCTTGGCCATGGGAACACAGCACAGGAGAGCCTCTCCAAGGCTTACCAGCCTTTGACCCCATGGGAAAGCCACTCCACTGCCAGTGTGGTCTCAGAAGCAGCATAGACAAAGCACTGTGCTTGGCCTAATAAAACTCTCTGGACTCGGGTGGTACCTGCAGGGAGCCAGTTTGTGTATTTCTGTATCTACGACCCAGTCAGTCTACAGTCCAGGGAAACAACACACGGACAGCTGAAAAGCGACTGTATATTATTTGGTACTGTGATGGCTAAGATGGGTATGTGTTAGCTATTGTGATTCTTGCCTTGCATAAAGTATTTGCTGACCTGTAACTGCAGGCTGAAAATCCGTAAAGAGTAGATTGTGCAAAAGAATGTGGGGAAAAGTTATGCTTAAATGTGTTGTCAGAAGCAATAAACTGTCATAAAAATGTGCCTTGCTATTGCTTCCCTGTTGCTAGTGCTGTCAAACCTATGCAAAGTTTCTAGCAATGATGCTTGTTGAAAACTCCTCTTACAGACACGCTAGTTATTCATTCTTTAATAAAAAGTCAAGAAGAACATTTATCACTGGGAAAAGCGGCAGAAGAGAATTTGGTTAATATCTGCTCTTAAATTTCCTGCCAAAGATTAAAACCTTTGTTAATTTCTTAGGTGTTTCAGACAGCATAAGATCTTTTGAGATGTACATTTGCAAATATTCTTAATTCAAATGCAAGACTCCCTACATCACAGGTGAAATGAAGTCTGTCAAAGAGATTAGATGTTTTCCTACAAAGATTTGATTGGGAGACCAAAATGTCATTGTAAATTTATGTGATTGACCGTTTATCTTGTGAAATGCCAGGTCGTTTTGAGGGATGAGGAGGAGGGAGCATCTGTTAACCCTGAAAAGCAGAACTCCATAGTGAGATTTTGCTTGGATTTAAGATTTTTAATATTCATTAACTCCTCGCCACAAAATTTCTCTTTCAGTGGCTCTCTTTAAATGAATGCATTTCCATAATTTCTTTAATTTCACAGCATTAGCTAAAATATATTACTCTTTACAAGTTTATGAATTATTTAGGTTATCAATAATGAAATTAACAGAACCATATACACTGTAATGAAATTCTTTCCCCACACATAGCCTGTTTCTTTTTCTCGCAAAATGAGGCCTGACTCCTTGCGGACTTGGCAAATAATTCTCTTTGATCTTAATCTATACAGGAGACACTGTCTGCCCCAGAGGAACACCCGTTGTTGAGATGATCTCTGTTGAAAGTACTCAGTAGACCACAGTTGAATATTATTCACTCTGCTTTGTTTTCGTTTCTTTCTTTAATACAGTAACCACAGGACAAGGGTAGACACACAGATGTAACTGAGATACATCCCATTATGTGAGCCTCCGAAACTGCCCATGAACTACTTTTAGCCAGTTACAAGTGTGAACATCTTCATTTATGTTTAAATTCCCAAATCTGATCTTTGTGAAAATATTCCTCCCTTTAATCATGGTGCTCCCAGAGGTGGATGGAGGACCCTGAGACTGCTGACATGTTCTGTAACTACTCCCAGGGCTTCAGGCCTGATTTTCCTCCCATGAAGAACCAGCATGTTTATGGGAGGGATGGGAGCTGACTGGCACACATCTGGGATGCAATCCCAGCCCTCATTTGGAAGTTTAGAAGCATTTCTGGGTCTGCCATTTTAGAAGTAGCACATGAGGTTAGAACCAATGTGTGTCGTGCTCCTGACTTGCCATGGAGGGAAACGCTTATGAAGATTTGGCCTCTCTGAATTTTTTTTCCTTCTAGACTACCCTTTTAATATTTTCTGTAATAAAATTGCTTTGCTTCTAATGCCTTGAAGCTTCTCTCTCTTTCTGCTCCTCATACATACTGATAGACTATCTAAGCACCTTACAGTATCCAGCATCTTAGGCTACCCTGGAGGGAGACAGCTCAGAAGAAGCAGAGAATTTATCCTCTAGGGTGAATTCACTACTTGTTCTTCTGCTACTACAAAATGGAAGGGAGTGAAATATGGTGATACTACAGGCACCTCTCTCCAGAGTTAGACCAAAGTCTTGTAATGTCAACATGGCTCCTAGAAGGGGGAGTACCCCCCTTTTATTAGTGGCTGTGCAAAAATGAAACTGCAAGTCTCAAACAGTTCTGGAAGGGGGCAGCTCTGAAATACAACTAGTTTCTAAAAAGACCTAGTGTATACACTTTGAGGCTTCCAGCACACAGGCTCTTACTGAGATGTTGATCTCTTCCATCATGGATTTGGGGTTCTTTCTGATAGACGTGATTAGTGCAGAGGCACCTTCCACAGTCAGGAGATTATTGGCCAACTGTGGAAGAAGAGACACAGAGACAGACACAGTGAGAATGAGGATTTCATGCCCTGGCAGTAATGGCGGGATGGGGGGCCCTTTCTTCCCCATTCTTCAAGGGGACTATAGAATAGCTCTGGTCCCTTTTTGTGTGTTTGTGTTACCCTACCATCTCTTGTCTCTGTCCCACAAAACTGCAGTGCAGGTTCCCAGTGCAGGTGCCTTCTCAGCCTCCTTTGTCTCCATGTGTGAAATTCCTTGTGTCAGGTCCCATATATCTGTCATGTGGGACTATGTGATGTGGGTCCTGTTCAGTCATGTGATAGGGAGAAACTGAGGTGACAGACTGCATTTCAGGGCATGCTTGCTAGGAGGGCACTCTGAAGGGGGAACTCTACTAGGAGGCTGGTACTCCCATCCGGCTGCTGGGCAGCCTTAGGACGTTTCCCACGGGATCTGCTGAGGAGCAGATCACAGCTCAGGCTGATCAGCTGTATCTGGCCTGCAAGGTCTAGCTGTCTGGGGTAATGGGCTTGGCATCAGCTGTGTGTATCTCAGTGTGTGAGCACCACCTTCCTCCCACCGTGCACTTCATGTGCCCTCCCCACTCCTGGTATGTGATAGAAAACTTTTGTGATTAACACTGGTCAGCAGAAGTCAGTTCCTCTTCTAAGTAAGTCCACTGTGTTACCAACTCATAAAAACAGTCTACGCCGCTAAATGGGGGAGCCGTCACTACCTTTCGCGTCACTGAAGAGATTTATTGGGATGGTAGGCCCTATGTTCCAGGGCCTGGCTGTAGGATTGCCAGCCCCCTTGAGAGGAATGCTTTAGTGTTAGCTAGTGCTCTACCTCAATGCAGGTTAAGAACAAGGAAAAAAAACGTTTACAAAATCTAAAACAACAATCCAAAAGAGGCAGCATGGTTGCAGTGATTTACAAAGACAGTCCCATATGAACAGCTTGAAAGATGCCCCTCACCCAGCATGCTGCCATTTGCAAGCTCTCAAGATATTGATGTTAGATCTAGCTGATAATCCAGCACTTAGCAACCCAGCTTTTCGGCGCTGAAATCCTGGATGATGATCTTGGATTGAGAAGATGTATTAGTTCTCAACGCTCACCTTGTTTGAAGTCAGTTTGGCTGTTCATTCAGTTCTGCCCCCTTCCAGGATTATTAATCCCTAGTTTACTAGGAGGCAGTTTGCCTTTCTTTTTCCACAAGTTAATACTTCTGTATTATTTAGGTAATGCTGGTGTCTCTCTGATATGGCAATAGCAGTGTCTCCTGTGCTTGAATGAACTATTAGGAAGTCATTAACTCATTGAGAAGGGCACACTGTCTCCCACCTGCAAACTTCAGTGGGAACCTTCACCTTACGTTGAAATGTATATTCTGCATAAACATGTACAAAGACAACTATATTTTATGCAAATATGCAGACCAGTTGAATGCCTAGACTCTCTGCTAGCACGTGCCTGAGACTAGACATGACAGGAATCAACCACTTTGGGGTGATAATGGGTGTGGGGTGACCCCTTGACCAGTTTTTGAGAGATTCCATAGCAGTGCAATTTAGCTGCCGTGGGAGAAATTCACAGCACGGGATTTCTTTCCACTCTGCTCATCTTCAACACAGAGCAATATTAATTTCCTCCAGTTCCAGCTCAGAGAGCTCCCCTCTATCAGGTCTGTTCCCCCTGACTCAGATCTTTCTATTCCCTCTCCTTATTCCCCTAGCCCTGCCTGGGCTGTGACTTTACCTTCAGGACTTTGAGATTTCCATTGACTTCAAGGCCCTTGCAGAGCTTCCTGGCTCCCTCGTTGTCAATCTGGTTGCTGCTGAGGTCCAGTTGAACCAGCACGTTGTTGACTTTGAGAGCTTCTCCTAGGGCCTTTGCTCCCTCGTTCCCAAAGCCGTTCCAAGAAAGGTCAAGTACCTTCAGCGTACCATTGCCCTTCAGGGAGAGGAAAGGGATCGCAGCTACTGCATGCCCACCTTGTATATTGCTCTACCCTTCCCTGCCTGGCTGAGGCAGGAGCATCCCTTAAGTCATACCCAGCCCAGGCCAATGAATCCAACTACTCTGCAATGATACCAAGGTTTCTCCATCCATGTGACTCACCAGACCTCCCCAGAACTCACTGCGGTAGTCTTTCTGCTGACAGTGACTGCTACTGTTGGTAGGGTGGGCCTTGCTAGAGCTACTGAATCCAGCTCAGACCTCAGGGATGTGAGTTCCTGATCAGTGTGTTCAGCCAGCTCCTGGTAATAATCACTGCAAAGTAGTTGCTGTCCAGAGAGGCTGTGGAGTCTCCTTTCTTGGAGATACTCAAATGCCGTCTGGACACAACCCTGGGCAATGTGCTCTAAGTGACCCTGCTTGAGCAGGGAGGTTGGACTAGATAATCTCCAGAGGTCCCTTCCAACCTCAGTCATTCTGGGATTCTGTGATTCTGTATCACAGAGCAGGAGAGTTCTTACCCTGAGACCTGTGCCCAGTGCTACTGCCCCCTTCATACTCAGGTGGTTCCAGCTCAGATTCAGAAGTTCCAGGGTTTTGTTGCTGGCTGGAAAAGAAAAACTGAGATGTCAGCTCATGAGGACACAAATTTGTTCTGGACACAAATGTTGTACCACACTTAGGGGCTAAGAGAAAGTTTGCTGATGATTCAGCAACAGCCTTCACCGATTGCAGCAGGAGGAACCTATAGCTACTCAGTCTATGCTGTCCAGCGCACCCAAAGAACAGAGAATGGGCTGCTGATCACAGGCAGAAAGGGAGCACATTTTTTGCTGGCTTATGTGAAGTTTTAATTGTGAGCGAGTAAGGCAGAGAGAGGGAGGATTTCTTATACTGATAGACACTGCCTGTGTTTCTCACTGTGAAGAAACGACTGGCTTCTCCCTGCCATATCCAACCTCCCCCACAAAACAAGATTTACTCTGCCTATGTCTGATTAGCAAAGGAGAGGAACTCAACTTCACATTATAGCTGTGCCCAGCTGTATGTGTGCCAGTGCCAATTCACATGCACAGCACACTGCACAGTGTAAGTTCTACTTAGAGTGGGATATGTGTGAATTCATTTCTATCTACTGCAAGGTTGGGAGGAGTAGGACTTGCTGCCAACACTTGCTTCTCATTCTCAGAAAGAATTTCTCATCCAGGTTTCCCATGGATGGGAGTTTGGATAAAGGCAGATGGTGAGTTGAGCTGACTTAAAAAATACTCCTTTAAAAAACAAAACAGAAAAGTAACAGATTCTACAAACATCTCCGCGGTTCCTGCCTCAAGTGAGTTGGAAGGAAAGAAGAGCTGTAGAACCTTTGATTTTAGAGATGCATTTTGGAGGGTTAGGAAGGTCACTGTTTAGCGCTGATCCCTGTGTTCCCTGCAGGAACCAAGGCAGAGGCACAGTGCTTTGTCATTCACTGTAGAATTCAACTGATCCACCTTCTGAAGACAAGGACTGTAATTAACAGCAGGTTCATATCAGTTGAAATGCTGAACCAGGAAAATGAAAGAGTTAACTAAATTGAAGAAACTGTGTTACTGAAAAGTTCAAGGAACGCTGGATGCTCAAATTACAGGCTTATGGCCACTACGGTGGCAGGTGCCTGGACAATGCTGAGGGGAAAAGAACCATCAGCTGTTCATGGAAGTCTTTCCCAGAACTATAAGAGTAATTGTTGTTTGCTTTGCCTGCCCTGATCTTTTAGTACACTCTGGATCCCACTTTGTCTGAATGGCTAACTTAGGCAGCTTCATTTCTTTTCTTTTTCTAATCTGTTTCCCTTGTTGCTTGCTATGCAGTGGCTCAAAGCATTAGAATTTGGGCTGCTGAAGTTGCAAGGAAAGATTTAAATCACTCCTGAAACTGGTAATCAAAAGCTTAAAACAAACTGTCAGGGAGCAGCAGGGGCTGCCTGTTCCATAAGGCATAGGGAGCCAGGAGCCAAGTGTGGTAACACAGCTGGCAAGGCAGGGGCCTTGCCAGCCAGGACTCAGTCCCACGGTACCTGAGTGAGGTGAGCAGGATAGAACCAGAGATTATGGCTAGGTTCAGTGAAGAGTCTAGATCATCAGGGAAGCTTGTGCTGATGAGGCAGGTCTGAGATCAAGCTGGAAAGCCAATCCACAGGTCATGGTTAAGATCAGGCCCAGCTATCATCGGGCAGGGACATGGGGCCAGGGCTGGGCAAAGGCTGTGCCAGGCAGTCACCTGTGGGTTGAGGTCAGGATCAGGCTGGGCACAGGGCAGGGCCATGGCAGCACTTTAGACTGGCACCGCTATACAGTATCATGGGGCAGGGATTGACAGCCCTGGGCTGGGCTGAAATGGGGTCCTGGGCCTGGGCAGGGTGAGGGAAGGCCCCAGGAGGTGGGCAGGGGCAGGTAGGGATGGCAGTGCTCTTGGGGTCCTGACACAAACAACAGTTCTGATCCTATTAAATTTTACTAAAATTTCATTTTCCGAATATTCTCTGTCTGACTTCTCTTTCAACTCCCTTCTCTCCAACACAGACTGCTCTGTCACTGTGGTTTCTCATCTTTTGTTTGTGTTGTGGTACTTTAGTCACACATAGTTGCTGGAGTCCCCTTGGGTGATGGGGGTGACCAGGTAGAGCAGCCAGGAGGCTCTAAATCAGGGCACGCCATCTTTTGTGCTACCCACCAGGACATAGGGCATTTTTACTGAGGAAGGAAATGTCACACTGCATGGACTCCATCATGTACCCCAGTGAGTGTGCCTGTACTGCTCGCTCTGGAGGAGTAATAAGTGCAGTTACCCAGCATCTGTCCCAGAAGCTCTCCTCCCTTCTCAGAGAACTCATTGTGGCTGAGGTCCAGCTCCTTCACTTGGTAATTGCCCTGCAGAGAGAAAATCATGCAGACAAAATGAGCTCTCCCAGCCAGCTGCAACCAGCTGCCATGCTAAGGGACCTGTATGAGGATAAAATAGAGGGATTTCAGACACATTGAAATTTTCAGTGCACAGGAATTCATCGGCATAGAGACTGGGGGTTGCGTCCCCCAGAACAGAGGTTTGTCAGGCATATAACATCACAGCGATCCTCTTCCTGAAACAGCAAAAGAAATGGGACTTGTGTGGTGTAAACTTCCCTCACATAGCTCGTATCTGGCCTGCAACACATCCTGCGATTCTGCTCCTGTCCCCTATTTCATTTCCACCAGTGCATCCTGACCAAGAGCTCTTTCTGTTATAAGTACAGCCTTTGTCCTTGGCAGCTTCTGGTGGTGCCAAATGGTGCAGAGGTTTTGTGATAGGAAGGAATTACAGGAGTCAAGACTCTTCTTTTTGCTAGAGAATTTCAAAAAGATATGAAGCTGGGTTATTTAAGTTTCTTGAAATTTCTCTATCACTCAGATGCCCTCTTCTGTTGTTCTGTTACAGAGTCCTGAGGATTTGTCTCTTAGCCAGACTCCCACAGCTGTCCTGAGAAAATGTTAACTCGGTGCATCCTTCTCTGTGTCCTTCAGCCTCTGTCATTTCTGAAGTGAGCAAGAGGCGCTTAGCAGAATTATGACAGGAGATCTTGTGGACATTGCCAAGTGAAATAAGGCCAAGCAAGTAGAAGTGTCAAGATGAGAGTCTTTTACATAGCCAGGGCAGCGAATGGCCTTGGATTTCAGGTAACTCACCGTTAGTGCCTCAGCAAAGTATGGTGCAGTCTCCACTCCAAAGTTGTTTCCTGGGGAGGAAAAGTGTATTAACAGTGCACTGATCCCTCCCTTGGCATTGTAGCAGGGTCTGGAGGAAGCTGTGCTTTTAGCCAGATTGTCAAGTTAATCATGGCCCATATCAGATTGTAGGGAGTTAGCTGTTAGCCTACTTTGATCCATATAGCAGGATTGCTCCAGCAATTATCTAAGTTTCTCGGAAGAGGCAGGTTTTCGGAGGTATTGGAGGTTTAGCTGGCCAAATATTTATTTTAATTACATCAGTATAAATCTAGATTCCCACACTGTTACTCTGGGTTCCTATCAGAGACATATCTGAGAGCTTGATTTTGCCCATAGTCTGACTGATGTTCTCAGGGTGATAGACTGAAAAGAAATACATGGTTTTTCATTTCCACTCCCATCATTGCTTGGGTGCATGTAGCCCACCTGAGAGCTGAAGAGTGTGGAGATAGGACATATTATCCAAAAGCAAACTGGCAATGGCTTCAGCTCCTTCTGTGTCTAGGTGGTTATTGGAGATGTTCTGGGAGGAAGCAACAAAGGGTAAGAAGGATGAGCCCAAAGAACGTATCAGTTTTATTGTCTCCTTAATGCCCAAGATATTAAGGAAATAATGCAAGATTAGCAATGTAAGAAATGCCAGCTAGGCAGTAATTAATATTTGAGCTATAGACGTGTGTTAACTCCATGTCCTTCCTAACAGGAATAAAGCCCTAGAGCCATCAGCTTAATATAGATCTTTGTCTTCAATGAAACAAGAGACATTGGCCAATAATCTCTTCTCCTGATGCAACACAGATCCCACGGCCTATGAAAACGCATTTTGTATGCCCTCGTTTCAGGCAGAAGGATTTGCATCTGCAAGTTTTGTATAATTCCCTTAAAATTTTTAGAAAAATTTCCATGAACCATGTTTGAGAATGAAAGTTCCTAACTAAAACATTTTCTCCATTGGCCAAGCATGACCTAGAAAGACTTTGTTTTGGTAATTATTGTCACATCTGCTAATGAAGAAAACAGTTCCAGGCATCCAGGGGGCTCACCAGACTGTCATCACATGCAAACTTCGGCTTTTCAGAACCTTGCACTGTTTAAAACTAGTATATAAAATATCATCATCTTCAGAATGTGTATATTTTGGTTGTTATTTGGTTACAACTTGAAATGGAATGAGTTGATTTTCCTTTATGAAGTTCCTCAGAAGATTGGACCTGGTTTCTTGGCTACAAACTATGTCAGATTGGGTACCAGTTCTTGAAGGCAGCAGTTCTCTCGTAACATCTGTGCTAGGCACACAGCTCCTTCTGCCAGAATCCAGTTATCTTCCAGCTCCAGGTGGCTGACAGTTGCATTGGACTGTGAAGACACAAAGGTAAACAGGGACCCCAAGAAACTACTGAAAAGCTAATGAAATGGGTAGTGTCCTCAGTTCAACAAATAGCAACTGGATGTTCCCTTCAAACCTCAGAAGGCACTGCAGGTCCCAAACAGAACAGAGGTCACAGGACATGGCAGAGCCATGGCTGTGAGAGTTGGTGTACAAAAGAGAGCTACTTTGTCGGAGAGCTTTTGAGTGGTTAGGACTTTCCAGTGCTTTTCACCAGCCTGGAGACCCAGGTTCAGCTCCAAGTTCCAATTCAGGCATCCTGGACCTGTCCGCTGGTGAGCATAGCACCTCCTTATGTGGGACTCAGAGTGGGAGATACCAATCACTCCATCCTTATCCCATCCAAACCCTGTCGGGGTTAGGAGTGCTGGGGACCTGTGCCCCATGGAAGAGTATCAGTCTGCTTGAGCGGAACTGGGGTAACTCCAGCAAAGGCCAGCAGCTGCCGCACAAGGCCTTTCTGTGCAGGGAATTAGAGCTCCTATGGGGAAGATATGTGGCTTTTCCTCCCACACTGTGTACTCAGCAATAGCCTCCAAGGCTGAGAGAAGCCCCAAATGCCTATAGTTTTTGACAGTAGTGGCTCTACTCTTACTGACTACTCACCACCAGAGCAATAGCAATGGCTTTGGCACCTTTGGGTCCTAGACCGTGGTGGTTCAGGTTTATATAAGACTTGGACAAGTTCTGAATGAAGTGTGAGACAGGCACCACATCCAACAGCCTGCATGCTTCCAGGTACAGCTCTGTGCCCGCAATGCCTGCAAAAACCTTCCCAGGATCTACAGAGACAAAGCATACTGATGAGTAGTACATTCAGTGTCCTCCCTCCTCTTTCTGGGACTGTTTCTCCCAAGCACTTGACAACTCCTGGCTTCAGAGGAGGAAGAACTGGCAAGCATAAGCTAACGATTCCCTAAAGCAATCAGTCTAATATGGGTTCCTGGCATTTCTGTGCTAAGCTCAGGGCTCGCCCCAAATCTGCAGCACTTCCTGATGCTGGAACCTGAGATGAGGAGCAAAGGAGTTCTTGCCTCGGCATCAGTGACAACAGGAGAAATGGGGGCAGCCTGCCAGTTGTCTGCAGAGAATTATGTGGCTACCTCAGTCATGGTCCCTCTTGGCCTTACCTCATTTTGTGTGGTTTTGATTCACATCTCAAACCAAACTATCAATAGGCTATGCCCGATTCATGGGTTCAGGCCTTAGGTTAAATTTTGCCTTGTGGAGCTAAAATGAGTAACACCATGCAAGGACAGCAGGGTTTTACTCTTTAAATGTTATTTCCCTCTGGTACTCCCTATCCATTTATTCTGCACCTCCAAGAGTTAATGTATTCCTCGTGCTTCTCAATTTGGCAACCAGTGACATGCTGTAGCTTCTCACCAGTCTGCAACGTGACTAAATCTTTCTTGCTATAATTGAGAATTTCTGACATCAGGCAAAAAAAAATTGTCATCTTTTTTCTTTTTTTTAAATCTTAATTGAAGCATGCAGCTGATATTCCTAGAGGAGCCAGGGCAGCTCAGAACATTTTGGCTTACAATCAGCAGAAAGAATCCCAGAATTCTCATCTTGGCCATTGGGTGTTGTTGACACAGCTGCAGTGAGACGTATCAGAGCAGCTGGCGGCTGTATTTCCACAAAAACCTGTCATTTGGAATTCCTTCATCAAACCCCATACTTAAGAGGTCATATTTCTTCATATTGTTATATGCATGCAATGATCTGACCTCAAAACAAATTCTCCTCTTGCCAAAGCCATTTTCCAGTTCAATTTGAGGCCTCCCAAAACAGTCTTTTTTTCTTGCATTCTTCTGGCTTTTGATTTTCGTTCTACTTACAACATATTTAAAAGTGCTCATTCCAAGTTTTGGTCAAGTCTACTATTTACAAAAATGAGAAGAAGACTTGTTCAGCAAGAGGACTGACCTCATTAAGCAGAAGAACCAGCAGAAAAGTCAAGAGCAGTCAGAGCAAGTCAGATCACAATTGGTACATAGTGTTTCATGAGGAAACAGGGCCCGAGTCTCATCCTTGGCTTCAGCTAGCTGCTCCTCCTGCCCTGGCAGCAGGCTGATCTGGTAATGTTGGTTATCAAGGACTGGGAGGGGCAGGAAGGAGCAGAAGGATAGCCATAGCAGTTGAGGGAGATGCTGGCACATGAAGTGGAAGATGAAGTGGAAGATGAAGTGGAACAACAAAGGGAGAGCTCTTACAGGGAAATTCATCCTCCCACCTTTATCAACTGCCAGATTAAATGTGGATGTCACACTGGTAGGGCTGCATCCTTGACCTCCATTTCTGATATATACTTGTTAGTAGGTACAGTACTAACTGTAAGGAGACAGACTGGGGAGGATGAATGATTAGAAGACACTTGCCTTCAGTCTCTAGATCAGTGTCAGAGTCTGGTGTGGCCTTCTCTGCTGAAACAACAGGAAGTGACAGAGGCTCCGGGGACTCACTGGTCTCTGACATCTCTTCATTCTGGTCTGCTATGAAACCAAACAGATTCATTTTGTCAATGCAAGCCCAGTTCACATGTGACACCCTCTAGCCGACAGAACCTCCCACCGCTCCCACTGAAGTCTGCACCCCTCTTCACCATGCTCCACAAGCACTCTTTCCCCAGCCCACTCCATGTCCACCACTCGCTGTGCATTGCACTCATGTGGTGCTGGCTCCGGTGCAGGGATGTTCTCACTCTCGCTGGAAATCTGCAGTCAGGCTGTGGTTTGACAACTTTTGGAATTAGCTCTCCCCAAATTCTTCAGCCCACAAGCAGGGAAATCACAGTTCTCCCTCGTTAGGTGGTCGTTCCCAAGTGAGCTGCTTTTCTTCCTTTCCTCAGTTTCTGAGGCTGCCAGGCAACAGTAAATTTCCCCTCCCCATCCCACTTTCCCACAAACCTATAAGCCAGAACTGTACCAGTTCCTTTTAGCTTTCCTGAATTGACGCACACTTTCCCAGGCACTGGCAGGACACTCTGTTGTCTGCCTTTGCAGTCAGACTGGGAAATGCTTTGGAGTACTCTTCAAGCAAGGCAGAGGAGAAAGCATTTGAATGCTGTTGTATATTGGGGCTGAGTGCATTCAGACCCACTGGAAGTGATACAACTTCTCTTGCCTGCAATTCATAATTTATTTTATAGTTAGAGACAAGGAAAACTTGGAAAACTGATCTTTAAGAGGAATAAATGTATGTAAGAATCATCAAGAGTAATGTTGCCAAAACCAATTCTGGGTAATAACTACAACTGCTGTTATAATTTTTCCTACTCTTAATCTTTCTTTTCATTCTCTGTCACTGTTACCTTCTTCCCTTACTCCTTATTTCCTTTATGAGCTCTAGGCTATTGACCCGTAATTTTGCACCCTTCTCGGGTGTCACTTAGCATTGATATGTGACATGGAGATTGTAGTTTAGCTGTTCGCTCACAGACATGTGTAAGTGAGTGACTGGCCAGCTGGCACCCACAGCAGGGCATTGCAACTAGTCCTGCAGCTGCAGCTCTTTCATTAAAACCTTTGCCTCATGCCAAAAATAAACTTCCTACTCTGAGGAACAGGTAGTCTCTTTGTAACCTACACAAAGCTCATCCAGACTGTATCACACTCTGATAATGCAGCTGTCATGTGGCCAGCATGGCAGCTGATTCTGCACGACATGGCCTGAGCATTGGTCCCTGCACCTTTGTGGAGCTGTAGAAGTTAGCAGTAATACACAGTTTATACTGTTATTCAAGCAGAAATTTAAAAAGCATTGAATCATAAGCATCGTTATTAAAATCAATGCAGTGGAAAGTGATGGGCTGGAAGATTCTTTTGTCATCCTCTCCTCTTCTGAGCGGTTGGGGCTGCAGGCACAGCTTTCTGGCCAGCCTTCTTCATGCACATCTTTTACCAATAGACTTATGAGGGACGCATGCAGACAACTACAAGACGTTTCTCTTATGCTAGGTTAGCAGTGCCTCTCCTCTAGGTTCATTCTCCTATGTTGTTCCCTCTTTTGACTCAGAAAAATATTCAGTAAATCACCTGAGTAATTCATACTTTGATGGTAAAGCTCTGTGGCGTACAGCAAATGTTTCTTATCTTTTGTCTAGTGTTCCAATGTCCTAGTCCTAGTTCATGACGGAGCTTCCTGCCCCTAAACTAATGAGGTGGCCTTTCTTAGAAATGCCACTAATAGTGATGGATCTAAAGGTAAGATGAAGATTTTAATAAATTAGTCTCTTTCTAGGATAAAACGAATGGATATACATCAAGGAATTTCAACTGTGAAAAGAAACCATCAAGTTGGTCCTCACTTCTTTCAGTAATTTTCTTTGTTGAATATCTGGCATAAGAAATACATCAGAGTAATAGCTCAGTTGAGACAACTCATAAAATGGAACATAACATTTTGCAGTATGCAGACAAAATAGTACTAATGGTATCAACTATGAGCAATTCTTTACATCCTGTAAGGAATTAGTTAATTCAGTGATACATCTAACTTGGGAATATTAAGTGTTGAAGGAATCTATGAGGAAACAGCTACAACATACATGTGATCTTGTGTAGCCTACCAAAATACTTAGGAATCAATACTCTAAAAGCAGCCTGTTACTGCAAAATGGAAAAATGGGGTTTATTTTGGTTTGGAAAAAACTGTGCGTGCCTTAGATTGGTCAAGGTTATCAAATCTTTATTTCCTATTTTAGGTCATGCCAATGTGGATACCAAAAGACTTCTAGAGAAATTATAAACAAATATATTAGATACTTGTGGGAAAGTAAATTAAAAATAGATTTTTTTTTTGTTAATATAAATAATTTGCACCAACAAAGAAAAGAAATAACCAGACAGATGTTATAACAACATTTTACCTCTGGAACTGGGCAGAATTAATAATTACACCATTCTCGTCGCTGCTAGTGTAAATTAGATTCAACAGACCAGATATTTCCTAGCAATAATATTTTTGAGATTATTACTATCAAAACCCCTTGAGGAATATTAATACTAATATAACAGTTTGGGCTTGTTAACAAATACATAATTATGTCAGATCCCATTTAGGGGGAGAAAGTTTCAGGAGCTCATAGCCAAGAACAGAAACTTTTATTACAGAAAAGCTGTCTCAAAGGTACTAATCCCAAATGAGCAATCAATTATTATTGGTGGATGCAAATAGCAGAGCTAAGAAAGGATATTTAGACAAATGTCATTCTGAAGCAATGGAAAATATCCTGGAAAATAATCTCATCTACTTGAATAATCATTATGGAAAATTATTACAGAACACTTTATATATTGTACTATGCTCTATTTAAATACATGAAAACAAAAACCAGAGAGAATTTTTCCCATATATCTGACTACATTAAAGTAATTGTACTATGAAGGAAAATAAGAAATTAAATTTCAAGGTAAATAACGTTAGTCTACCCATAGTGAATTTTCTAGGTGAGAGTCCAAAGGAGGTTTTAAACTTTGAGAAGAACTTATCGATGTCATTGACAGCACAATAATTACTAAATGTGTTTTATTTACCAAAAAAATGTTCGCCAATATTAGTGATCAGGAGAAACAAAGTCTACAATGCATAAAGTAGCCTACCTGCATATACTAACACTGAGTAATTGTGTTTTGAAATTTGAACAAAATGATCACCTATCTAATAATAAACGATGATGAAAGACACATTAAGACACATTAATTACTTGATAGCTTTATAGAGAGCTTGCATTTACAGATGAATGGAATACTTAGAATTTTCATAACTAACAATTTCTGTTGCATATTAAGAGACTCTTAATTGCTTTTTACTTTTTCTTTGTTCAGTTTCAAGAAATTAAAACTTTGCAAGCAATTAAGGTAAAAAGCCAGTCCCCATCCTACTGTGACTAAAATCAGCCAAGTATGAAATTTCATGAGGGAACAGCATGGCCATAGTTACGTTAAGCTAGGAAATCAGGCCAAAATGCTACGACCAGACCTGGGTCCTGTCTCTGCTGTGCAGAAGCACAGCTCGACGGGTGGCAAGCTCAGAAAAGTATTCTGCCCTCAGGCCCTGCCACTGCTCTGTGGCGGTGGATGGCAGGCGAAGGGGCAAGTCTTGCAAGCTCCCTGCTCCTGTCTCAGGGCACTGGCATCCTGAGTGCCTGTGCGCAGCGGAGGGCCCCACGTTTCCCTGCAGTGGGTACTCACTGCCACCTTGCCTGGGGAAGAGAAGCCTTCCCACGTGGGGAATCAGCCTAGAGCAACAGCAATCCCTCTTGCGATTCTCGTTGTTTTCCTTTGATTTTTTTTTCTGACCATTTCTGAAACAAATTTGCTAGTAGCTGAACACTGCACCTGTGTCCTCCTCAGACTGATTCTCCATTGTTTTGTGTCCTTGTCACCTCCAGTAAGCTGCTTGTTTATTTGCTTTTTCTCTTCTGTAAATGAGTCACCTCTTAGACTCTAATTTTCTCACACATACACACAAAAATTGCAGCCGCTCAGCGATAATTAAAATATCTCCAGGAGGAATGGTGCCATTGGTAAGAACTACGTTCCTGATTTTAGTGCTTACAACCAGAAAAATCACGTTTCCCATTCACAGGGGCTGGCTGGGTGTTAGGAGAACCTTCTGCGAAGCCTCCGCAGCCGTTCTATGACCTCACTTGCTCATTGTGACTCGGAGGAGAGGAAACTCATCACGCTGGTGACCAGCGTTGTATCACCTCGGGCTTGGATTGCATCAGGTCTCGTCTGAGAAGAGAACAGATCAGATTTTGGGTGTGAGACCCCCAAATGTACCAGAAAGTAGTGCCAGTTTTCTGGTAAGGGTTTTCCTTTCCTTTGAATTAGTGTTCCAGCCTGTACAATTTCATATAAGAAAGTCAAAACTGAGCATTTATAGTCTTAAAGGAGATTAGGACAGAATGAGTATATTGGCCTTCTGCCTTGTACAGATTCAGACTTGTCTCCTGCCAAATTCCCTTTACAATGCGTAATAAAGTGTGGCTTGTAAACATGTCAGCACTTATTAGTACCGCGAATCGAGTATTCATTCATCCTGGCAACTAACGTTGATGTCAAAGTTGGTTCACTGCTTATTATTTTTGTATGACTTATATAGAAGACTCAGTAACCTTTCCTAAGAGGCTAAAACCAAATTATAATAGAGGAGGCTTTTTGGTAAAGGTTGAGCAGAACTAACACTGACATGCACTTTGAAATCTTTTCATTCTGGGAGATCGCTCAGTGAAGATAATCTCTTGTAAAGATTTTGAAATTTGTCTAACTTACAGAGAGTGGTGTGTGGTATACAAAGAGGAAGAAAAAAAATTCAATTTCCCCAAGGACAGGGTATTTTTTGTGGTTTTATTTCCCTCGGTTCTGCAGAAATCTGTCAACCAGTCCAGTCATTAGAGGCCATGGTAGGGTTGTATCTGAATATAGAATAACATGTTGCATAAACCAGGGAAAGTCTTGACCCTGAAGTAGATCACCATTGTCAGCTTTGATTTTATTGCCAAAGTTTGTACATTTTTTTTCTAGTGTAGGCCAAACAATTGTGGCAGCCCAGATATTTGCTTGCTTGTGGTACTGGCTAACGTTCCTCTCCAATCGCAATCTGATTATCCTGATGTGGGATGAGTCTTAGATACTTTCTTAGGTCTTTCTTTTCAAACAACAGCCTTGTTTTAAATTCCCTAGTCGCTAGCCCTTACTGTTGCAGTTCCTCTGGAGACTGCAGTTCCTCTGCAGTTCTCCCTCTGGAGAACAGCTGCTGCCATCCTCCATTTTAGTCAGAAACTAAGGATGGTTTCCAGAAGCTTGCACACTACTGCAAGAGATGGGAGACCTCAGTCCAGCTCTGTGCTTTGCCAAAAATGTTTGTGGGATTTGAGACAGGTCACCGTGTCTGGGCCTCAGTTTCTCCCTCTGTAACATGGTTCCAACTCAAAGAAGCAGAAATAAAAAAGTGCTCAGATGCCATTGCACTGTGATCCATGTAGAAGTCTTAATACAGATATTGCAAACTCTGCTCTGCAGGCTTTTAAAAGACACAGTATTGTCTTACTGCTTTGAAAACATCCTACAGAGCACTGTCTTGCTGCAGATAGCGAAGTTCTTGCTGATAATGATTTGTGGCATTTTATTACTAGAGCTTTTAGAATTTTATTGCTGGGATTATTATTTATACACATTATAATACCAGCTCAGATTCCTGGTCAAGGACACCCATCGTGCTCATCACCACACAAAAGTAGGGTAGAGAGTCAGGCCCTCCCTCGGAAAGTTTATAGTCAAAGAGACACCAGATGGTGACCATCAAGGGAGCAGTTTGGCAGCTCTGGTCAGCAGGACAGGCAGGGACACAGGCACTGTTTTTCCCGTTGACTTCATTGCAAATGCCCATCCTTGAGAGAGTTTGGAAGAAGGTGAATGAGATCATCTTCCAGATGTGCATGCGGAGTCTTTCCCAAGCAGGAGGGGCAACACAGGAGACGGCACAAAGCTCTCGTTTGAAAACGTAAGAGGGTAATTCTGACCTGAGGCAGAAATCAACTTCTAATGACATGCAAGAGGTAGTAAGCAGGATGGGGATAGGATGAAAATGCTCATCAGCAGATGACAAGAGTGATAAAAGTTTATCGCCCTTCTGCAGTTAGTTTGTTTTACAGTTTTGTATATTACCATAGTACATTAAAAGGGTGTGTTTGGCATCAAGAGCCATAGTGGTGCTCAGTTTGATCTGACTATGCCTTTAGGCGCTATTATACACATTCAAATGTGGAAAGGAGCAAAACATTAAAAACACAGACTTCACCAGGACTTCTCATTAGGTGTGAAACTATCAGGTTTCAACACCTGACAGGTCTCAACTTTCAAAGGCTACAGCGTGCTGCTCTCGGGCAGCTGGGACTGTTTGATTTTGCAGAGCTGTAACGACCTAAGGGCCAAGCACGGAAGGAGAACATGCTCCTGCACTGCTAATCCAATGCGCTTTTGCCTGGGCTTATCCGCGCCAGACGTTGTACCCTGTAAAATCTTGGATTATCGTGAACGATGCTGGGCGCAACCTGTAACGCAGTGTGATTATTAACTTTTCATGAGCTTAATTTGGCCCACGTAACTCCAACGGGTCATGTCCCTTCCGCAGGCCTCGGGGGGCGGCCCGCGCCCGACGCGGCCCACACG